CTCCAGTGTGCGAGAACCCATTGCAACAAAAACACTGAGATTATTAACCCTAAACCAAAACATTAAACATGGTAAACACCAGCTTACCACTGTTGTGTATCCATAGTAGCTGCAATAATTAGAAAAATGGAAATGATCTAAATAAAATGATAACCGTGACATAGAACTAACTTCTCTTGCACTTGTTGCGGTATGATCGCCCCCGTCGGTGTCCCTCTCTGCTGCTACCTGCGTGGCTCTGCTGGCGGATCTGCCGGACGGCCCGGCGGCGATGTTGACGCTGCTGGAAGACTGCGTGTCCGAGGTGTTCCCGCCCTCCGCTCCCGACAGCCCGGAGATGACCAGGCCGCTGGAGAAGCTGCGCTTGCCGAAGAGCAGGCTGAGCGTGGAGCTGGAGGAGGAGCCCTGGCTGGGCCTGAGCTGGGCCGCGGGGGGCAGCTGGGAGCTGAGCGGGCCGGCCGCGGAGAAGCGGAGCGCCTGGGAGAAGACCGAGGCGATGGAGGTGCTGTTGGACAGCCTCTGCACCACGCCCTGGGCAGAGGTGGACACCTGCTGGCTCTCCAGGATGGGCCCGGACTGGCTGGTGACGGGGGGCCTCGGGTTCTGTGGCTGGACAGAGCGGCTCCTGTACTCTCTTCTGGCTAAGAAGTAGAAACAGTGAGGCGTGTTGGCAGACCGGCCCATTAACAGACTACTTGCCTTGAAAACCCAATATGACTCAAACACTGTTTTCATGTTTTCCTTTAAGTGGTCAAAATGGCATGTTATTGCATGCATGCTAAATTAATAATAATAATAAGAATAATAATAAGAATAATAATAATTATTATTATTATTATTATTATTTATTATTATTGCGGTTAATAATAATGTTGCTTTATTAGCCCTATACAATTTCTTGCATTAGGAATTCGTCTTTTCGCATACCCCAGCTTGCTCTCCATGAGACAGACACACAGACAGGGAGAGAAGCCTGGGGTCAGAGCGCAGGGTCAGCCATTGTACAGCACCCCTTGAGCAGTTGGGGTGAAGGGCCTTGCTCAGGGGCCCAACGGAGTAGGATTCCTCTGCCGGCAACCTTCCAGCCACAGGCGCAGATCCTGAGCCACAGAGCCACCGCTCCCCCCGATTACTAATTACTAATCCAGGTAAGTGCTTATTAATGTGCTCTTCATTGTCTACACATTTTTACCAAGAACGAGGCAACAACAGTGTTTTTAAGTCAGTTATTTCAGGTCATTTGATTGTAACACCCAGCAATGACGAGCCACGCCTGCCCTATTTGCGGCTCAAAATCAATAGTGAAAAGTCAATGGGTGCTGCAATGGGGTGCAAGTACCTGCTCCGTGCTGCCTGCCTCTGGTTGCCTGCACAGCCCTGGTCCTGCCCACACTCAGGCTCTGAGAGGTGATGGAGCTGGGGTGGTTACTGAGAGAGGAGCCTCCACCCCCACAGTCCCCGTCCTCCATGGTCCCCCTGCTGTGGCAGCTCGTGACGGTGTCCTTCCTCACTCTGCGCGACACGCAGGACAAGAGGAACCCGCTATCGCACAGCTGGAGACAGATGGGCCATGAGCTATCAGATTTGTTTCTTTGTAACTGAGCTTTCCATTCCTGGAACGTATTTTAATTTGAAAAAAAAAACCCACCATGTACACTTCAAGCCCCAAGTACCATTTTCCACTGCAAAGGGAGAAAAAGCTGAAAGTGTAATTTTCCTCCTTATATTCCCCCGCTAAACTTTAAGCACACCAGAAATGGCAGTTTTCACGAAATCTCTAGCCTAGCAAGTCACAGGAAAAAAATGTTTGAAAACTGAAGGTCTGGGAAGATCTTGATGAGATTGTAGATAATAACCTTCCGGAATAAAGGCATGCCTGTATTGTAAGTAATGGTCATCAGGGGTCAACTGAAAAACAGCGGGATCAAGCAGGAGAAAGAGAGAGGGGAAGGAGGCAGCACTAGCCGAGCGACGAGAATCGGCAACAGAGGGCTGCCCATGAAGGCACTACAGAGAGGAAGTGAAAAGAGAATGAGGGAGAGATCACTGCTTTTCACACCTGCTGTACTCACCTTAACCATTTGGAGAAGAGCCAGGATTTTAAATTCACCAAACTGATGGGCGCACCCCAGATGCCCTGGAGCTGCTTGTGGGCTCCCATGTAGGACGTAGTCAGAGGCGACACGTACATGGGGTAGCCCAGAGGCTGGTCACAGGAGGAGTTGATCATGTTCCTCAGAGCTTGCTTGGAGTTCTGGATGCTCCCTCTCTCTGGGTTCCGATTGCGGAGGAACACCAGCTCCTGCTGCTGCCCCGCCCAGAGACCTCGGACACACTCCTTGTTGATCTGGAAGAGAAAACAGGTCAGGGAAGGCAAAGCTCATGTCAGGTTTTGATCAGAAGAAATGGAAAGAAAGCTCATGTGGACTTTGGACTTGATGAGCTGCGCCACGCTCTGCATTAGAAATACAGAGAACTGGCTTGTTAGTTTCCTACTGTACATGTTGTATAATCAGTGCCAAAGAACATGCCGTAGTGAGCTGTGAAGGCAAGGATGTTGCGCGCTGTGTGCCCTGAAGTGTGACTGCAGTCATGCAAACTTTGTGTTTGTTAGCAATCACTGAGATGGGACATCATCACATTCTGTTTTATGTTTAAGAGCTGTACATTTTTCGGCCTGCGCTCAGATCAGCCGTCGTGCTTTTAACGCTGCAGCTATAAAAGTGGTTCATGTGCATAGGCTCTCTAATGCCCTGCTGCCAGTTAATGGGACCCTACCAGACATCCATAATTACAAAGCTGCTTATTGCTTATTGTAGGACAATGAAAACCTGAAGCCTATTGTGGAAGCAGAGGCAGCAATGTGTGATTGCACCCTGCACCCAGTCCTTACCAGGGGACACACACACACCAATAGATTTAGGGATACTTATTGACGTTGCCAGCAGTAAAGCACCCAGAGAAAACCCTAAGTAAATCCAAATAAATTAAGATGCACATTACTTCTAATGACACTGAACAAAAAAACCTGTTTCACATTCCCTTTTCTTTAGTTTGTCTGACACATAGCGACCCTGTATAGTAGAAATAAAATGTTTGAGGGACATTCTCTGAATGTTTAAGCTGTTGCCTTTTATCTGATCATCTCAGTTGAGACAGTCATGTTGATCAAAGGTCCAGGTCGTCAGACAAGTGGTACCAGCTGTGAACTCAGGCTAAGACAACTCTCTGTTCAATGAGGAGTGTGTATTCTCTCCAAGTGAATTCTAAGAGTCAGCCCTCTGAGAACATACATAGAGTGAGAGAAATGTGAGGATGAAAAGATATCACTCGTGTAGGAGGAAGGAGGAAACTTAAGAAGGTAGAATAATCTCAGAGGAGAGAGGAAGACCGTATTAGAGGTGAAGTATTTGGACTGTGAGAGAGATTGCTTAAAAGACCAGACTCTATCCAGGAAATCTGAGCATTGGCAGAGTACCAGACTTTATGTCTTAAGAAAGAGATTTGCTGTCATATTTTTGTGCAAATACTGAATACCTACTTTTGTAGTATCTACAAGCTAAAAGAAATGTAGTGTGCAGGGTTTTAAAAAGAGAAGTAGCTTCCAAATGTTCTGTTTAGTATCCATTCTGCTGAGAGAATTAGTCCTGGACAGTGATACTCTGTTTGACAGGATGCATGTGCTGTCTTAAGGTGTTTTGTGTCTCGAATTCACCAGGAATTCTGTGTCTAAATCTGTTGAAGACAGAATTATTGAAACTCTTAAATCTGTGAATATCTATACAAGACTGTGGGGGTTCTGTTGTTGTAAATAAATATTGATTCTACATTTGCCACCTTATTGAAATATTGCCACCTACTGTAAATCTGCCATTTCTTACCAAGCTGCACAGGAGAAGCGAAGAAAACACATTCCACGATATGCTTAGTATTCCCTGACTACAGAGGGTCCACTTATTCATTTTTGTAGCCTGTATAGCAAGCTATTGTCAGGACTGATGGGCACTACTTATTTTATAATTATTCATACTCCCTTATTGCAGCATCATCAAAAATAATATTTAAGTTCATTAGTTATTTTGCATTATTAGGCAAATGTTATTTTAAGAATATTTGCATCTGAATGCAAGTTACACCTTTACAAATTTGGAATAACCAGAGACTGTGAAATGGGTGCACCACCTGCGCAGCTCTGAGCCTCACCTTGATGACTTGGAAGCTGAGGTGACGCTTGTAGAGCATGATGATCTTGTATTCGTCAGCGCCCTCGTCCATCATGTGCCTGAGAGTCAAGAGGGTGTCCCTGCTGGACAGCACGGCCTTCCGCCAAGCCGGGTCTCCCTCGTGACAGATGACCAGGGTCTCCTCGTAGTTACTAATAGCCTCGTACAGGACCGCAGGGTCCTCTGTCTCCTCCAAGCAAGTGAAGTGATCCTGCATAAAAGAAAGAGGAAAAATGAGAGCTGTGCCTTTCAGTACGTCTTCCAGAATCCCTGCTGTTCATGTTCCAGGAACTGGAACTGCCTTCGAATGTCATCATGATCCCCCTCCACTGTCAAAAGCTGTCCAGACATTTGATGCAGTCAGAAAATCTGTGTTGCTGTTCATCATGTTGGAGAAAGTAATCGGTCTTCACGTCTCTTAAGTGCAAAGTGCCTGTTGCCTGCTGTGACACACCTCTTTAACTTGCAGTGTGAGGCACGATCAACACTTGTAATTAATGTCTTAAAAAAAAAATTAAAAAGAGGCCGGGACAAAATCTGTAAAGCTACGGTCACGGAATGTGATGCCATGTGGAGGAGTGGACCTATGCTTCCTGAACAAGCATGCAGAAGAAGACATTTTTCATATTTTGAACATCACCAATAAATTCGACTCAAACAGCTGACAGGTGGAGAAACCCCTGATGTCTTGAGAAGTGTTTTAAGAGTGGGGGTGCAGCTCTTACCTGGTGGAGCTTTAAGCTCATGCGTACCGCTGGGGCCACAACCTTCTGAAGGAGGTCCATGTCCGTGAACACCCACTCATCCTTAGCCGCTATGCGGAAATCTCCTTTGAACAACGCGTTGAAGCCATACAGGAAAGACTCCAAGCTGCCAAAGAGATGGGCAATGAAACCTCACCAGCACCATTCACCGTGCTGGTCAGTGGGCTGCTTACCAGGGAATGCTGGTAACACATAACCAGTGCCTAGTTCTGCTTTATTTCTATGTGCCCTCTGTTACATTTTACATAGAGGCTAAATATGATGTTATAACATACGGAATCCCTTATAACCAGCCTATAAGAAAGTTTTATGATGGCATTATTAGGCTACATAAGGCTATGTTGAAATAAAATTTGGATTTGATAAAGTGCCATTAAAACTTGCTGCGTAAATTACATCGTGTTAACCTAATCTCAACTAAACAGCACAATATACTATAAACACACATGGACATGCTGCACAATTAGGCCCTTATACATATTGTACGTGTATCAGAGCAAATGAAATGAATGAAGATTTTCAAGCCTTTCTGAGCAGCTCGTTGTTCCTGAGACGGCAGCTTGGACACTGTCCCGAGATGGAGGGGACATTGACCTGTTGGACATGTTGTGGGAGGCGCTCCCTAAAGATCTTCTCCCAAGGACCGAGAGAGCAAAGCACAGGGTGACTAAGGGGGAGTCCTCTTCGCTGTCGACAGGCTGTGGAGTTCGAGCACACAACAGGATTTACCTGCTGGCCTTGTCAAGTGCCAGCCGAATTCCAGCGTTCGTTACAGGAATACAAATACACGTCAAAAATTCAATGTGAATGGGATTTATTTCCACGGTTAAGACAAGCAATAATTCTTAATCCTACCAACACTTTCATTCATTTTTGGCTGATTAATTGCATCAGATACGTCAGAGAATTCAGAAGGGAGAAGTTACATTAAATATGTGGGGTTTTATTGTTTTTTTTCGGCAGTGTTTTAGACTGATCCCATCCACTTATTTCTTAGTATCAACTCTGGTGTTACTCGAAATACAAAAGTGATCCATTGCCCTTGTAAAAAGCAATGTGATTTGTAACCATGTTGTTACAAATTAGACCTGTAATGGTTTTAATGGGAACTACTGTACATCATAACATGTCACCAGAATACCCCCCCCCCCCAGCATGTCCCCACGCTGCAGGAGGTCAGAGGTGAGCAGCTGTAATACCACTCACCTCCTCCAGCTTGCTGCTGCAGTACTGAATCCACTCCAGGTACACGTTGCAGAAACTGGCCCTGGTCACTCCTTGGAGGCAGAGGACGTAGTCCTCGTCGATCTTGACACTGAACACGGCGGGGTCTCTCTCGATGTGGTGCCACTTGGTGTACACCTGGAGTGCCTGCTGCACTGAATGCTCTTTTATCCACTCCTGAAGCTTAGGGGAGTGGAGCAGGTAGTATATGATGCTCTGCAGACGAAACACCAATGAAAGAGAGATCAGGATGGCTGTTACTGAATTAATCCTTCACTTCTCCCCCAGTCAGCAATTTCACATATCGGAGAAGAAAAGTCCATTACTGGCACAAAAGAAGGTTTGAGAATACTGTAAACTCTCAATGATGATCTTCTTCAAGCATCATTTACTTGTTCCAATGCATTTTACACTTTTCTGTCTTGCTTTTTCTAACATCTTACATTACAACAGTAAATGCTTATATGGTTTGTGTAGAGCCCCCCTCACAAGCTGCATTATGATAGGCTTCCTGGTGATTTGAGGGGCTTGTCGTGCTCTAAACTGGGGATCTGCCCTGTTAGAACATCAGAGATGCAAATTCAGACTTCAGCCTTTCTACAACAGCAGTGCAGGATGTATTTTTTAAAAAAGGTCTTGAAATGCATTCAGACTCTCTTTACCTTGAGATAGTAGGTGATGAGCAATTTCCTCAGGTCGTACACCTGCAGCATGGTGGCGGCGTTGTTCTCACTGACACTGTAGCCCTCCAGCAGGTACTTGGTGGAGGTGACCTCCCAGGCCAGCCAGCGCAGGTTGAAGGCGGCGTTGCAGGACAGGATGTGAGGCAGGTGTCCCGGCTCACAGCAGCAGCAAGCGTCGTCGTCTTCCACGCCCTCTGCGATGGCCTCCACTTCCCGCTGCTGGCAGTACGTGCCTTGGGGAGAGAAACTCCGCTTCAAGAAAGGCTCGTGGGCTCACCGTTTACACCCTCTCAGGGAAACGACTCACAGGGAGCAGAATATAAAAGAGGCTGGCTGCTTTGTAAGAAACTCAGTACCATGCACACCAGGAGGAGAGTGAACAGAGGGAAGACAGAACACAGTTCTCGTGGTCCACTTGTCAGCATCCAGTTTTAGTCATTTAGATTCATTCTAGAGTCCAATAGATGTTTATTATTACTCTTATTATTGTTAGTAGTAGCGATCTAGCTTGATCTAGTTTGATCTCAGAACTGAGGATGGGACAGATCTTAAGAAAACCTGGAATCTCCTGTAAGCAGTATTGGTGGGCCAGTAGGTAGCAGTCTTCCCTCCGGATAACAATTTCCAAACCAGTACATTGACCGGGGACTCGGCCTTCACTTGAATGACGCAAGATCCTTAGTAGGTCATTGAACACTGGCCTACCTAAGGGTTCATCTTTAATTCATTTGGTGAAGCTATTTCTTACTTCTGTGCCTGATCTGTTCTATAGTGGGGCTGCTGTTTCAGAATGGTTGCCAGTCAGCCTCACCCAAGGGGGGGCTGCACTTTTGTGATGGATGTAGGTAGAAAGTGGGACCCATTCTATATATAAAGCACTTTGGGATCTTCTAGAATATATGACTATGTTTAGTACTAACATACTCACTGGCCAAAATATTAGGAACCCCAACTCAATAGGTTGTAGTGCACTATTAGCTCGTGGAACCTGAGGCAGACTACCATCAGCAGTCCCCCTTCCAGACCAGAATAATCAGATCCTGACTGTCATTGCCCTGATCAAATGTGTAGTTAAATCCCCCACGCTCAACAGAGCCTCATCTGAGGGAGAAGTGAGATGGCACTGGGGTGCAATACTTCCCATAGTCTTTTCAAGCTGTTCTTGCTATTCACCGGAGCCCAGGAAGGAGTGGGTGTTCCTAATATTTTGGCGGAAAGGTGTGAGTATAAATCTAGTAAACAGCATCTACTTTAACAACAAGTGTCCCACCTCTGAACTCCAGGCCTCGTAGCTGGAAAGTAACCAGGCCGTTCCCAATCTCAATCAGGTGCACAAAGGCGTTCAAGTAATCTGAGGCCAGCATGAAACAGTCCCCTTGGCTGTAGTCCCCCCAGCGGCCCAGGAGCAGATCCCCACACAGTGAGCGCTGCAGGGATCGCGTCAGGTACTCGTAGAATATCGAGTTGAGGTTGTTATCATCGCTTCCTGAAAAAGACAAAAAATGCCTTTGGTTTAGTTCCTTTCTTTAAAAGACAACAGAGTGGAGAGCTTCTAAGGGATATTTATTAGGACACAAGTGAATAGAAGGGAGAAAGAATGGTGATAATAGAAGATTTTGGTCACAGGCTTGTCCATATCTTTCGGATTTCATCTGGTGTTGTTAGCTTTCTAAATATATACAGACTGCTCTTGATTAAACCTGCACCTGAATCACAGAGAGATCCCTAGCTGCAATCTAGGTTTTTACTCAGAGGGCCTTAGAAAGCTATTCTTGCACAAGCACTCATGGGAAAGGTGTAGAGATGCATACTGCACCCCCCGTGAGGAACCGAAATGGAAGAACGGGGTGAAATGAAGAATTAAACATGAAGAAATAAATAAAGTCAGAGCTGTCGTGTAGCTCTTCAATGAAACGTGTGTCATCAGGAATTGATTATGTTTACATGGGGACCTACATCAGTGTGCTTCCGCTACAGTGGAAGAGTAGGGCTTAATTCCACACTGAAAGGCAGAAATAAGAAACACAACATTTTGGCTGTTGAGCCTTTTGCAGTTGTTGAACCTGTTTAATACCTGAGCCTTATTATTAACTAATATATATTTTAGAAAGCATTGTGTTTTTTCTCTTTCTACTTTTGGAATTAACTTGTACTCTCTTGTAAACTGAGAGTTTGTGTATCTTTGTGAAGGCACGGCAAACACTGCTTTAACACTGGCACGTTACAGGAGTGATTGAACTCGATATTCAGCCAATGTCCTGACTGAGAGAGATCCTCCTTTTTACCTGCGTCTTTCTCAATCTGGGACATCAGTCTGCTGTTTGAGTTGTCTATCCGTTTGGTGCTGCACAGAAGAGGAGAGAAAAACCCAGCTGGAAATGAAAATACATTTGTTAAACAGACTATATATCACCATCACAGACCAGTTTAGGTGGGAGAGGAGGAGAGTAAGGAGGATGTGGCTTCTTGGACAGCACTTATAGCAGATCCATGCTGCTGTGTTTAAAGGTTTAGCCCAAAATAACGCCCAGCAGACAAAATGACTCCAAAAGCCTTTCTTGGAAGTCCAATCAACCAAAAGAAAGCAATCCTTACTTGTAGTTTCTTTCCCAAAACTTGACCGGTCGGGGATAGGAAAGGACGAAGATGGCACTGCCGAGGAAAGGACTGAGTGGGATGTAGAACAGTGAGGTCACCAAGGTCTGGAGCAGGAGCATGGCTGAGTCTGCGCTTCTCAGTGAAGGAAAAGGGACTTCAGCACAGCGGGACAGAGCACAAGGAGCCAGGAGACTCCCTGCTGACACATAAAGCTGCTAGATTCATTTTTACAGGTTGGTAAGAGAGGCTTCATAGTTCTGCAAAATATTTGGACAACGGAACAATTTCCAGACGCTGGTGGGATATCAACCCTAAGCTTCAGGAGTGGATCAAAGAGCCTTCAGTGCAGCAGGCACTCCAGGTGTACACCAAGTGGCACCACATCGAGAGAGACCCCGCCGTGTTCAGTGTCAAGATCGACGAGGACTACGTCCTCTGCCTCCAAGGAGTGACCAGGGCCAGTTTCTGCAACGTGTACCTGGAGTGGATTCAGTACTGCAGCAGCAAGCTGGAGGAGGTGAGTGGTATTACAGCTGCTCACCTCTGACCTCCTGCAGCGTGGGGACGTGCTGGGGGGGGGTATTCTGGTGACATGTCATGATGTACAGTAGTTCCCATTAAAACCATTACAGGTCTAATTTCATGCATGTGTTGCAACACTATTACAAATCACATTGCTTATTACAAGGGCAATGGATTCGCTTTTGTGTTTCAGATAACACTAGAGTTGATAAGCGCTTCTCAGTGAAGGAAAGGGGACTTCAGCACAGCGGGACAGTGCAAAGCAAAACCGCTTCTGTCCCACTTGGATAAGGAGCCAGGAGATTCCCTGCTGACACATAAAGCTGCTTGATTCTTTTTTACAGGTTGGTAAGAGGGGTTTCATAGTTCTGCAAACTTTCCAGACGCCGGCGGGAGGTTTCTCTGTCGGGAGTGGTTCGTTTCTGTAAAGACACAATGGTTCCTGGCGTGGGGAAGACTGGAGGCAGGCGGGGGAGAAAGGATACGTGGCACAGCGAAGGGCTGAGCGACAGCGTGAAATGCACTTCCCCAGGAGATCTGCCACGGCGCCACGTACACCAGGACAAAGTGCAGCTTGTAGAGGAGGTCCCGGAGCTGCAGCAATGAGGACAGAGAGGTCAGTCAGCACTGCAAGGGAACTCCTAAATCCCAAACCCAAAGCACTGCCTTCTGGTAGACAGAACTGTTTCCGCTTCAGAGGGCTGAAGACAGGACCAATTAGTACATTCTATTAGTTTCTAATAGAAATACAACTAACAGGAGGTAATCCATAACTCTGGACTGGGACACATGGAATATGGGCTGGACATCATCGCTGGGGCATCACCAGCTACCTGAATCACGCAGGCTAAACCAATATCAAGTCTGGTTCTGCCCTCTCTTGAGATTCCACAGAAGTGACATAGGAGGCCATAATTAGTCAAGACCTTGGTTTAACATCTCATCTATATTTTGCCATATGGAGATACTGATTTAGTATTGGGCCAGAGGAAAGAGCTTTTACCTTCCGGTGCCCCAACACTATTTACAGCATCATCCTGGTTCAGCTCACACCTGAAGAAGGCTCCACGGCCGAAACGTTGTGTTCTCTTTCTTCTTTTTTTCAGCATGGAATAAACCTATTACTTGTTCCTTATCATCCTGGTTTTCCTTAGAATGCAGACCAGGTCCTTGCGTAGCTTCTGAGGTCTGAATCTTAATATTTGTTATTTGATTTATTCATTCTTTTGTCAAATGTGTGCCTGAAATATTTAAATATCTTCTTCTAGTTACAGGTCGGTCCAAATTTCTAGGTTGGTCCATATTCCTGCATTTTTTGGAATTCATGGGTCTGTCAATGATAAGAAACCATCTAGGTCCTGAGGCAGCAAAACAGCCTCAAATCATTAATGTTATATATTGTTATTGTCATCCTGTAAAGCACTTTGAGAAGCCACCTTTAAAGGTGCTATATAAAATAAAGTTTATTATTATTATTATTATTATTATTATAAATCATGGTAGTCCCACTACCACGTTTGATGGTCAGAATGAGGTTCTTCTGTGTGGACGTGTGGATCATCCAGGTGCTCTTTCATCAACTTGAGACAGCAATGTTCTTTTTAGAGCACAACAGTTTCTTCCTGGCTATCCTACCATGAAATCCATTCCATTCAGTCTTGTGATGGCTAATGCATGAACACTGACATCAATCGCAGCAAGGTAGGTCTGCAGATCATTATATGTTACTCTGTTGCTCTTTGTGAATTCCTGGATGTTTTTATGCGTTATTCTTGGGGCAGTCTTGACAAGATGACTATTCGGGTAGAGTCACCATGGTCTTGAATATTTTTCTTATGTCGAGAATCTATCTGACAGTCTCCAGACTGATGGGCATCAGCTACTCTATTTGTGATTCCTTCTGAAATCTCTTTTGATCATGGCATGATATGCGTCCACATAAGCTCAAGGTTTATGACCACTATATAGGACAGGGCAGCTCAAACTCCGTAAACTAGGGGTTCACTTATTATTACACATACCCTGGTTTTTAATTATTCATTTTTATCTACTTCATACAACATCGGATCTAAAAAAATAAATCAGTAAATGTAAACTCTTTTGCCTATTTACGAAAAGACAATGTACTGTATGTCTCAAGCATATTCTCAGGGTTACACTGTTAATTAAGTACAGGTCCTCTTATGGTCACAGACATGGAGCTGGTACCATTTACAAGGAAGTCCTTCTCAAACGCAGCAACCACTAGCCTACACTGCGGGCTCCCATCTGCAGTGACCTCTGTGAGGTCCCCCTCACTCACCTTGTGGAACACAATGGACATGAGGAAGAAGTCCAGGAGGAATGTCTCAGACGCCCAGCTGTAATCGTACTTGAAGAACAGTAAGGTGAATATCAGCGTCACGCACTGGAAACTGGGATGGCAAAAGGAGGAGCGCAGCAGCTTCATCCCAGCAACTGTCATCAACAAGACATCACAGCTGGAGCAAAACACAGAAACCTAAGAGACTCGGGGGGAAGTGGCATGTCTGAGGGCTCGCTGAGCAGACGCAGAGGCAGGCAGGGTTAAAAGGGTTCGGCAGGATCCTTCGCCTGGCCGTGAGCAGGCTGGTTCGAGTGGTTCAGAAATCCCAGAGCTATCTGCACTCTGGATTCCCAAAATAACTACTGGTCCATTTCCAGTGCTTCTGGGACATTCAGTGGTCGTCTAATATAAACTAGTGGTGATACATTGGTGCATGTGAACAACTTACACATTTCCTGAACCCCTTTCTGACAAGGAATTAGGACAGGAGAGTTTATTTATTACTACAAGTTCCAGTAGGAACACAGGCATCCGATAGTACAACAAATAAAAATATATGTTGTTTATTCTTATATATTATTATATTATATTAGAGACAAGAGGAGGAGGCTATCAACTACAGAATTTTGTCCATCATGTGTAGCAGATTCAATGTAATGGATCAAGCACAGCACTGACAAAAAGACACGTTACAGCACATTACTGTTTCTAAAATATATCTGAAAGCTGGTATTACTGGCATTGAAATAAAAAATACACAGTATTTGTAGGAGCATGAGAATTATTTCACTTAGATGGGACTAATATTTGCAGCCTTACAGTTCTCCTTGAACTAGGACACAGTCCATGGATGACAGCATGTTTGTTCAACAACAGACCTAGTGATATTATCACATACAGCCTTCCAATTGCCTTTCTATTCCAAGTAATATTTTAAAAAGACAAGCTTTAAAAGAAGTTGGCTTTCCAACATTTCAAACACTGAATAGAGGGACACATTTTTGTAAAGCACTGTCCAAGCCTGATGAAAATCAAAGACACAATCACATCACAGTCTAATGATATTTTTATCAGACCAATGTGCTTATTGATACATAAAATATTTGAAAGGCCTTTAAGTCAGTAGCGTTAAGGCCGGTTATGTAAAGTTTATCTCAATTCTGTGAATAAGAATAGAGAATAAAAAAACAACTTATTAAGACTCTTGAATCTGTGACAATTATTATATAACACTGCGGTTTTGTTTTAGATTTGTGCATATGGTCTTCAGTACCTTGGAGTGTCCTAAAAAGTTCTAACCTGGACCTAAACCAGAGTATTCTCTGATATTGAAAAATATCATTTAAAAATTGTATAGCCCAATTTTTACAATGGTTGGGAACAAATACATTTGAAAATATAATGATATATATATATATTTACATTCTAAAATATTGTAGATTAACTTTGACATATATTTTACACATAGAAATGCATCTTTTTGCCTGTAATGCTTCTAAATGCAAATTATTCTTTTTAATTATTTTTTAAGATTGTTTCCAACCAAGTTGGTCATATCTTGTAATATGGGATTATATTAATTCTATGGTATATTCTTCTTCCTGGGACTGAAGGGTTCCCCCAGATGCCCTCCTGACAGCAGGATTGTCTGTCCTTGGAGCAGAGGAAAGCGCTACTCACTGTGTGCCCAGCTTCTTTCTGTGGCTGAGGCAGAAGCCGTCGTTGATCAGGGCGCTGAGGATGATGGCTGGGTAAATGAGAAACTTCTCACAGCAGACCAGACACACATGCAGCCTTTCAAACCACATTAAGTGGGCGTCCTCTGAAACATGGAAAGAAACTGTGAGTTGTGGGGCTGGATCATGTCAGATCCATACAGGGAAGCAGTGCTTAGCAGTCCAACTGTCTCAAACTGACTTCTACTGTCTCGCTTTCAGGAAAGGAAACAGGACTGGAAACAACAACGCTTTGATTTCACAGCATGTAGAGAGAGACAGAGACGTGGAAGCGACAGACCACCAGCCACCTTCTATGATTTGATTTTGGAGAAGAACGTTTGTACCGCTGGACGAACAGCAAGTTTTGAGGGAACTGGATTCATTCAAAAGCTTGAAACAGTCTTTCCAGGCTCCCACGTGCATCCTAAGTTCCTTACCTTCAATGAAAAGCATCAGCCCGGACCATTCTTTTAAACGCCCAAGCGAGTGAAAGAAAAACTGATGAATGACGTGCGAACAGAACAGAATGGGCACCCCTGGAGAACTGGTGTTTCCTGACCCTGCCACCCTGCTCTATAAAAGCCGACCGATTCTGCCTGTCTCGGCTCACACTGACCTCTTGGTTCGTACTGCGTGTACTCTTTACTTTTGAGAATGGGATGCGAGACCCAGAGCCAGGGGTGGTGCTTTCTCAGCTGAGGAATCAGGTAGTGGGTGACAACGCCAACAGTCCCAGCTAACGTGTACAACACAATGGTGACAAAGGGCTGCAAAAGACAAGGACACAGAACTGACAGCGCGGGAAGAGTAGCTCATGCACACAAAACGCGCTCCCCTGTCATTCTGAAAGTATCGTTTTTTTCCATTTACCCAGGTTCAGATACTACCTGGAGATAATCCATTTTGGAGTTCACCGCCACAAAATTCTAAAACTGATGATGATCGTCATTTACATCGGCAGCTGGTTACGTTTTTGATCAGACTGTTTTTCCCCCCCCCCCAATAACATGAACTTCGGTATCTAATAATTCAGAGGGAAGAGCAGAAAATAAGATGGGGATGCTGCTTACCTTTAGGGACAGAAACACAGTGCTGGCACTCAGTGCAAACGTTAAAACAGACGCTGCAGTGCACACAACCAGGTCGGAGTGGAGAATTTCCCTCTGCGCAGAATGAAGACAGGGAGAAGGGTTAATGTTCACTTGCATGTAGAGGTGATTCACTTTATCCTCTCCTGTTTGGATAAAACAGTGAGCAAAGTGCCTTGACTGCAACATTGCACAGCCAAACAGCGATAAACCACCTTTAGATTATAGTTCCATTACCACTGAATTCCTCAGCTTCTCCGGAAGAGGATCTGCATTTTCCACTGAGTTGTCCTCATCACAGCCTTTTAAATCAGGCAGCAGTTTAGACTGGATCAGAGACCTGCAAATACAACCGTTTCAGGCCTGTATCCGATCCCGGAGCATGACATCTGACAAAGAGCAAAACACAGCTGCTTGACATGCGATTGTGAAATTGTGAATTGACTACAGGAGCTCAACACCACTGAATTTGCTTGGTTAATATCAATTTTAACTGTTATATTTTTAATATAGTCTTGTGTGCAAATCCCAAACTTTCTTTGCTACAGGTATATTTTTGTTGCTAAAAGGTGGGTAGAAACCTCTTGCCCAGTGCAGAGTTTTTACCCTTTTCTTTCTATTTTCATTAAATCTGATCTGCTTTGCTATTATACCTCCACTGAAATGAGAAAGAAACGTACATGTTGCTATTGTAACAGTGCACAAGACTAGATCTAAAGCATGGGAGATTTCGGTACTACAGTAAGGTTTGCGTTTGAAAGACTTTGGTTTCTGTTATTCTGATTTTTTACCCGAAACTATATCAAAAGTGACAGATAATTAAAGAAATACCCAAGTGATTAATTTAGGTTAAGACATTATCAGTGTGAAATCTGTAGTTGTAATAATGTAATACATTAGAAATTATACAAATATTACTACAGTAGATTTAACATGATCTTTTCACAAATATGTGCAATTCCGTGGGAACTTCTTTAACAAGGAGATTTTTAGAGCAGGACTGAATGAGGTTTGTGCTAGTTTCATGCCGACCCCAGTGCAGTGTAAGGCTCAGTCTGCAGGATCCTTACAGCAGTACTGAAGGGTCACTGCTCTGGCGACTGAGGTGGTAAGAAAACACAACGAGCAGACCACAGAAGGCAGAGAACAGGGCTGGGATGTGCTGTTCATCCCATGGCTCCTGAAATCAAGACAATAAAACAAGAAATAAAAACAAAGTCATGGTGCTTTCATGAAGTTTAAAGAAAGGAAATTCAGCCTTCAGTCATCCCTCTTACTGAGTTGGTAGTGTTTTCCTAAAATTAGTTTTAAGAATTATGCACAAAGGCACAGAATTTATTTTTGTGCAGGAACCAATAAAGCTAATTGCCAGCCTTTACCAGTACAATTATGTATTGGCCTCGTTTACAATATTCATTGGGAGGAGACTAATAACTCAAACCTACTGTACCTTCAGAGCTCCAAAGCAAAAGCCATAAAGTGTAGCCAATGCAATCAGGCTGCGAGATAAGCTGTACAGTGCAGAGGTCATCCCTGTGACAGCTGCAAGGAACAAGAACATCACACACATCTAATGCTTCACTTAATTCTGCAAACCCTCGGGTTCTATAAGTAGCCTGCTGAGGCGGAATTCAGTTCAGTTTAAGGTAGATAACCGCTTGATTTGTCTGCGATGAGGCCACAGTTCTGAGTGCCTGGTAAAACCCATGTCCAAGCACTTAAACACACACTCACAACTGTTACACAAATAAGAATCAGTTCTTTAAACAACCATGGATATCTGCTTTAATGCACATTCATTTCATTCCACCCTCAGCCAGACTTATCTCATCTTCAGGCTGCACAACCAACACATACAGTAATCAACAAGTAATTCAGCCAGCCAACAGCCAAAAGTAATTTTCTCCGTCTACACCTGTTGAGCACTAGTTTGGGGTCACATATAATTTAAATACATATCCTAATGAACTTGAAAATGCCACTATTCTTCACTGTGTGTTGCTGGAATGCTGTTGCTGGATTGTTTTCAGCAAATAAAAACAGACGTACCAGTTCCGCCAAAGAAATGCATGTCGATTTGTTCCAGCAGGTAAATCAGGAAGGTGTTGATTTGGGGGAGGAGGCCCAGAAGAAATATAATTGGAAAGCAGTGTACAAACCCTGCAGAGCAAAGGAGGAAACAAGTCAAAATGAGCTTCTAAACTACTGTCATATGTTCCTCCTGCAATACTTGTTTCTAGTTTCTCACATTTTTGTCAGAAGTGTAATTTATGATTGCAACATTTAAGTGATAACGATAATCAAAGACAGGAATAGTTATACACTGTAAGGAACAGGAAAGTCAGCATTAAGCCGACATGGAATCCAAGTCACACTTATTTGTACACTAGAAAAAGAGAGATGATGGTTCTTGAGACTCGGGCCCTGAAGAATTTCGTTTCATTTGAGAGATGTTATCAGGTGTGAAAAGCTGGGATAGTTGTGGAAACATGAAACAAAGCTACCTTTCAAAGTTTCAAGGAAAATTGAGTAACTCCAGCTACATCAGCATTAGCTACAGCTAATCAGCATGATGTCCAATGTTAAATGTTCTGCTTGTCTGACCCTGTAGCTTTGAGAATTTTGCCAGTTTTAACAAATCACAGGGCTGTACGTATTTAGAGTATTTCTCAAAACCATCACCTCACTCCTTCAAGGATGTTGAGAGCTCTGATTTCAAAAGTGTTTTTGCACAGTATGACCTTTCACAGGTCTCTACAGAACTACACAACAGCAGTGTGTACCTATTAAAACATCTCGTATGAATTGCAGGACATCTGGAGAAATTATTCTGATTCCATAGACTGTAGACACAGGGAGGTCCTGTTTCTTCAGAACAATCTCCAGCAACCAAATAAGGGCACAGAAAATACAAAAATAGGCAGCTCTGCTGTAGGCAACAATCTGATTGTGTCCCTAAAAAAGGGAAAGAAAAGACATGTTCATTGTTTTGCAGGTCAAGTTAAGTGTTTCTATAAATTATCATTCTAGAGCTGATTATAAAACCTTGAGTACTCACAATTCTTTAAGTTCTACTTGGGCAAAGGATCAAATGTGTTTCATTTTCCTTTGGAAATACAAACATGTTGTCTTGGAACTGCAGCACATGACTGATTGGATATCTGCTTTACTTACGTGTGTTGGTGAGGCAGCATCTGGCTGGACACTCTGAAACAACATTGATAAAGGGAGTGAAGCTCATGACAGAAAAGAGCTACAACTATCCCAGCAGCTGGCCATCTCCCAGGTGTCAAATCTGCCCAGCATATAGTACTGATCTCTAGACATTTCTGCTGCCTTTCAGCTCACTGCAACATCTTCAGCAGATGATCTGTTTTTTCCTACTGCAGGATCTTCTGGACACCCCAAGCCTACTCCCATGCTTCAGCTTTAGAGCTTTCTGCTGTGTGGGAATTGGGATGTTCATTCAGAAATACCCGTCACACCTCCAGACATTTTCACTGAAATACTCAAGATCCTCAGGGTCTTCTTACCACTTGTGACCTTAATCACATAGTTAGTCACATTCAGTTACAGTAGGTGAATAACCAAGCAAATTATTTTACCTAACTGAATCCACTGCTCTTCTTAGTATGGAGCATAGAGGTCATTTTACATAAAGCCTGTAAACCAGTAAAACAATGGGTTGAGTGAAAGTGGACAGAGCCTTGCATACCTTCAGTAAGGAGTACTGACAGCTAGCGATGACCAAGCAGAACTGGAAAATCCATATATCTTTAAAGAAGCCGTGGCTCAGCAGTACAAATCCAAGGAAGGAAACCAGGAATGCCAGAAGCACAGCCACCATGTTCTCCACCGCATCCTGGTTCCTGTGAGCAAACCAGACAATATCATCTTCATGGCAAGAGTCTTTGTCCTTGGCCCGAATGTCTCCTTATCAAATGCGTTTTGTTCTAACTCTCAGCTGCTTACATCAAAGCCTGGAAAACTACTGTTAGTAATGTGATCTCACCTGGAAAGTCTTACAAGTATCTTTTGCTCAGGAACAGAGAGCCAAGGGTTGTGGGAACCTGGAACAAGCTGTCCAGTCTTCTTATTAAAGCTGATAACCTGGCTTCCTTCATAACATGGCCAGATGAGAACCTCACAAGCATTTATCTGCTAGCAACAACCTGATCTAGATGGACCAATTGACCTCCTCTCATCTGCTACCATTCTTATGCTCTTAAAAGACATGATGCCTCTTTTAGTACTCACCAATAGATTGTTCTGAATGAATCAGTGTGTTGATATATTAGGACTTATTAAAGCCACTTTATTAATTTTCCACGATGTTCTTTCAATGTAGTATAGCAGTATTTAAAAAAAACCCAACTACGTTCACTTACAAAAACAAGAAATAAAAAAAGAGTTCTGCATTTAACAGAGTCAGTCCACCCAACTTCTCAGGACCAAAGCAAACAAAGGTAGAATTATGTTACAAAAATAAAGATAGTAACGATTTATGTGGAGGCATAGAAAAAATCACTGAAACGGTTTAGAAGTACTGTGATCCAGAGAAAGAGGAAAAGTGGTTGGTTACCTGTCCAGCAGTGCCAGTAACGTCAGCCGGTCATACAAGATATTAATCCATTTTCCAGGAAAAACCCAGATCTTGTAGTACTGCTTACGAGCAGGGTTTTCCTGTGTACAGGTCTCTGAGGTTTCTTCAACGGAGTCCTCTTCCTTAATGCAATATACATCATAGGCTCTTGAATGTATTTATCAATGGTATGTCTTCTTTACAGTATTACAGCCATCACAACAGCCAATGACCTATGACTTACTCAAATAACTTCATGTACTTAACTCAAAAGTCACTGGAAAATTATTGTCTGCATCATAATTGAAATATATAATAATAGAAATATGATTAATTTTCCTGTCTCTTTCACAGTCTCTAGAGATTTATGTTTTTACCCCTCTCCTTGTTAGATTGTTGGCTCACAATTTACCTTCATGAAGGTTTATCATGGTAACGTACGAGCATTATGAATTTAATTAGGGTTTCCTTTCACTAATTTGCCTTGATTTTACCATACCATCCTGTTCTTTAACCATGCTTACCAACGTCACAGGTTACCATTTCTTCCATGATCTGTATAACACAGCACCAATGAAGAGTTCACTGTTGTTTCTAACAGCAAAACACTGAAATACCATGGGGGCTCTGCACACACTCTGCACACAAACTAAATTACAATATAGCAGTGGGAAAGTAAGGAACAAAAACAGCAAATTCGCTGGAACACTTGAAGAACTATGAACTTTGTCCACAAAAACGCGTGATCGTTTCATATAGAATATGACTGCCCTTTTTTGCGCATTTGACCATGCATAAAAGTAAAAATTAGAAACAGTGCAACCAAATTAGAAAGGAACTATTCCTTCATTATAATTTTTCAGTCAGCTACAGTATCATTTTCCAGATCGAATACTGTAAAACACTGGTACAGACACTGTTCCATGATTGCATTTGGTTTGTGAAGATGACCTGAAGATGCCGATCTTACCATTATTACTAATTAAAAATCAATGTTGTGTGCTATATTGAAGCCAGCAATTAAAGTAGACAATACACTTGAACAGCCTTGCAGGGTAAGCCAAAGTATAGTTTGATTTTTCCGTTGACGTACAGTACTTCTCAAGACTACAGAGGCTTGCTTGCACATGGCTGTACTGCGCACGTACCTGAAAGATCTCTGGGCGTGTCCTCCTGGGCCTCAGTCTCTGCACGGGCACGACACGCCTCTGGAAAGGGCATTCTGGGAGGCCCGCAGCGGGCCCATCCAGGCACTCTGAGTTGGATGAGGTGGACAGGAGCTCGCTGGGCAGCCGCAGGACAGGACAGAAAACAGTTTACAGGCTCTTGCTCGTGTGGATTAATACGCCATTGTCTGTGGTACTGTCCTGTGCTCCATTCCTTCCTGTCCCCAAACCTCCCCCACCACTGACTTCAGACTCCTGCTCGTACCACGCTTACGGGAACACAGCCTGCTCCTGGCTCACGCCTGCTCTGCCCTACAGCTGCCCAGCAACTGTGCTAAAAGCCCCTTCTGCAGTACAAACTCCCCATCATCCCATACAGTATCTCTGCCCTGCCTTCAGAAGCCTTGTTGCACTGCCTGCATTCAGAGCAGCTCCTGTATATAACCTCTGTTCAAAACAGGCAAACAGGCAGAGATGCCAGAAGAAGACACATTTCTTTCAAGCTTGTGCTAACGTTATAAATTGTGAAATTTTGATTTTAGTGAAAATTCCTGTGGAAGTATGGCAGATTTAGGACATGGCAAAACATTATATCAATAGGCTCTGCCTCAACCAACCCATCCTATGTACCTGGAAGAGATTAACATTGCAGTACCCATTTGTGACAGCTGTTATTGACTCAATACATATAGGTTTGTTAAAATAATTGGCATAAATTCCTGGTCAGCATCTCATCAGATATCATCCCCCCTTTTCGTCTTCAAGTTGAACAGAGTGTTTTGCAGTGAAATTTATATTCGGTCAACTGGAAGTGCTGGGGTTGGTAAACTGTTTTTTGATGTTGTTGCTCAGGTATCATTTTATGTATACAGCATGTTTGATCAGTCTTCCTTCTGTCAAGGTATAATCTGACTGGAGACATGTGTGAGGTCACTGCACTAGATTAGCATTAAAAGCAGAAGTTGAGCAGTTTGCGACTGCACATTTGAAACAGTGGCCATGATATAGCCATGATAGCCATGACAAAGAAATCTGTTAAGTTACCAAATATTCCCTGTAATCAGCTCTGCTCCCAGTGGCAGATTCAGTGCTCTTTCAGCATAGAGTTTACAGGGCCTCTCCCCTAAAATGAAAAATAAAAACAGATGAAAGTCAACAAAAAAAAACACAGGCCTGTCATGTAAACATATCTTATAAAGTACATACCTGTATATTTTTCTCAATAAACCTGAGCTAATTATCCAAACTTTTCCTAGAGGAAAAATCGTTTCCATATTTAAATCATCGTCACTGTTGTATTTTTAAAACTTTACATTAAATTTATACAGTAATACAAGCTCTGCAACAAATCTTTGAAAATGAACCTCACAATAATGTCATAGCTTTTCAGTCAGTGTACAAAAAGACAAACTCTCGTGATTATAAAGAACTTTGAACTTGTAATCTGGGGTTCTAGTCTGGTTGGGTCTCATTTTTCAACAATATTTGAGTGTTTTTACTTTCATACAAAAACCCAATTTGCAGCCGCCAGTTGGTTCCTTGTGTCGTGGCTCTCTGTTTTCATACCACGCGAGCTGAAGGAGGAAGGACAGACCTGCTCCTCCGGCATGTTCTCCATCAGGCCAGCAGGAGAGATGGCACAGACTGGGGGAACAGTGTGGCTGTCGCTGCCTTCTGTCACAGGATAGAATAATCCTACCCTCATCCTGCGCAAAGCTGCTAGCTAGCAATATGATGCAATGCGACAGAGCAAACACAGAAATCCTTTACAGGCTGAACCACTTTGGGACCCATGAATGCTTCCTGGGAGGAAAGTTCAATGCCACCTCAGTACTCACTGTGAACTGTGTGGAAGGTATAAGCTTCTTCTTTGGAGGTAGCTTCTGGTCTGCATATAATTTGCAACATGGAGCTTTCTGACTGAGAGGTCTGGGAAGGCAGAGAGTCATAATTGGGGTCTCCCTCCTTGTCGTGCTGAGGGCTAAATATGAAGAAAACAGAAGCTTTACAAGCTTGTACATAAATCCCAAACTGATTCTTATTAAAAGCCCAAGATGCTACAATGACAAAATTACTGGACAGCTCAGAAGAGACTGTAAGCAGTCAAATACTGTTTTACATTTTGTGCTTCTTATTGTACTTTCATTAAAGCTGTACTGTAGCAGAGCAAGAAGGAACATCACCCTGGTCAATTACTAATGCAGATCTCTTGATGTAATCATGATGATATAGTTCTGATATCTAACTTCAGGGTATCTGTTTTATCCTCATGGTGGGGAGCGCAGTGTAAACATTGGTTTATGGAAAAGTTAATTGTACTTATGATTATTTTAGATGCTTTTTTACACAGTGCCTGTGGACAAAGTTACCTCTCTGGAGAGACAGCAAGCATCTGGTTCTCAGGAACTGTGTGGTGTGCGACTGCTGTCTGCAAGCTGCTAGGTGGGTTGGTGTGCTCTTGGGGACCTTCTGTGTCAGTCTCCTCGTCGTGCTTCATTGCTGTTACAGTGTCTGCTAAAAGAGATAGCAGATGTCCCTCATATTGGGCAATAAAGACTAGGGATTCTCCCAATACAAAGTTTCTCCTGCCTTTTGTAGGAACACTTGACTGCCCATTGCAGAAGGGGCAATGGCGAACACCTCAGGCTTTCTTCTTTATGCAGAACCACAATTCTGTGGTAATTTCTTGCTGGAAGCCACTTGGTTTTAAGGAAATAGTTAATCCCTAAAGACTTTAATTTTGTATTACAACAAGTAGCTTCTTTGCTTAATGAGTGCGTAGAGATGTACAAATAATGTCGATAATGAGCAACACTTGACAATGACTCGATGAGACCTGACTGGTAAAAGTGACGAACTGGCTACCATTCTGGAACACTTCATATCGGCTGCCCATGTAGAGCTGACATTGAAGGTGGCTAAATGACAATTGTGGTTTCTTCTCATCCAAACTTACATGGTTTACAATGGACTACGTTGTTCTAATTGTATTTAACACTAGCAGAGGCTCTAAGAAAAATGACGACAGTCATACAGTATGCATAGTGTAACTCGTGAATTTGTCCGAGACTTCTGCACAGAAATTTATCTCAGTTTTCGCATTCGTTTTTATATTCCATGCAATCTGGAAGGCAAAGTTTAAATGACCTATACACATGCAAATGTACCAGTCTCAAGAGCAGCACTGTGAGCTGCATTCCTAGCGTGAGAAAGCAGTCTGCTTGTAAGAGCTCTCTAAACATAACTTTCACTCTAGCCGTCTCTGGTGTCTCCCAGATGCGCTCATACAATTACTTTGACAAAAGCAGCAAAGTTGGAACTCTGATAAGCTACAGGAGCTAGGGGAAGAATGCAGTATTAAGGTGTCTGAGCATGAAAAGAATAAAAAAGAAGCTATTTGTTTTCTTAAGACGGGTATGTGTGTAATGGGTACGTGAAAACTTTACTCAGAATGTTCCATCCCATAACACACTACACTATATGCTCAAATGTAAGAGGAAAGAAGTGTAACTGAAAATACATTTAAACGCTTTTCATTACAGGTGGCCTGAAGGCCCTCCATGTGGAAATTTCAAATCTGACCAAAGAGGGAGGGAGAATTACACACAGACACACAGAGTGAGATGTGCCACAAATGACACAAATACGAACCCGTAGGTGAAACAGAACGTTACTGAAACGCCACCTGAAAGAACCCTCAGTGCCGAAAATGAAAATGTGTCGTTGTAATCTACTGCTATGCCAATTAAGCCTCTATGCTCTGGTGAGGTATTATAAGCGCCACTTGATCTCTACGATGAGCAGAGAATGCCCAAGTGTTCAGCAATAGCAACAGTGTTTGTGGCGAGTCATCTGTGGGAAAGGAAATCTGGAATTCAAACAGTTTTCAATTAAAACAAGTTCTGTTATGACAATCAAATTAAAAATAACCTTCATATCCAAACAGCAGGTTTTCCTAAGCAGGGAGGTTTAGAGCTGGTCACTGCAGCATGAGAAGACAGGTGAGGAACCGCACCAGAACTGACCTTCATCTGTCGCCCTTTCTCCCTGCTCGGCGGCGGCTTCCACCTGATTTCCAGCGCTGCTCCTCGTGCTGTTGATGGACTCCAACAAAGAGACAAACTCCACGAAGTTGGACTCGTTGGTAATCTGGCCCTCCTTGGCTTCCAAGTCAGACTTGGAGGACGTCAGAGTCTGCAGTTTGTCCTGGGCTTTATCTGTGCTGAGGACAGCGTCTCTGCCGCTGTCCATGCTGAGGCCCCTGTTATGAGTCTTCGGCCCACTGGAGTGTTTACTGTTTCCTCTCTCGTACCCGGACGGAATCTGCAGGAAACCGTCAGCTTCTGTTTTGGGCTCTTGCCCGTCGAGGAAGTTCTCCTCTTGGTGGGAGCACACTTGCGATTCGATGCCAGAGGAGCTGTTCTCGTTGGTCGCGTTCACCCGTGGACTGAGAAGCCCATTCTCGTGCTCGTTGGACTCGCTGTCCCTGCAGTCCTGAGCGGCGGAGTCGGTGCTCACCTGCTCCTTTGATAAATTCGCCTCCGGTGTGGGTAGCTGTAGGCTCGCGTTCGCGCCGGGCGAAGACCCGCCGTCTTCGGGCAGGTCGAAAGTGATGACGGGGATGTTCACCACACCGGGGCCAGCAGCTTCGCTCCGTAGCTCCGAGGGGGCTGGGGTGAGCTGGAGCTGGGCGGACTGTCGAATGCTGAGCTTCACGGTCTCCTCCAGGTCGGCCGCCGTCTGGGCGTCGCAGCTCAAAGTGATGACGATCTTTACCGTGTCGCTGTCGTCGATCTGGACGGAGGGGTTGGAGTTGTCGACAAGGACGACCGCAATTTCGTCAGAGCAGTAACTCTCCCCGTGGTGGCTGCCCGTTGGGGGCGCACACTGCTCCGGGCTGATCTCTAGAGAGTTGTTGTTGGCATCCTGCTCGCATTTCCGTTTCAGCATTTCTTCACCGACCTCTTCCAGATCTCCCTTTGGAGATGGGATTGTTTCTCCCTGAGAGAGATTTCGGTCGCTTTCCTTTGACACAGTGTGGGGTGCAGCAGCAGGAGTATTCGAGCCTTTATAAACACCTTCAGAGACAAGCTTCTCCTCTGTTATTGAGGCCTGCTGTGCAGTTGCCCTTTCTTTCTCAATACGTGGTGTCTCTGTCATTCCTGTATAATAAAACACAACAAATGAAGATGTTACATCTACTCTATTTCCAAGTCAGAGAAAGAATCGGCCATTTTCAGTTTTAACTTCACGTTAGTATTCACAGCATTGAAAAACCTGACACGTGCACAAGATAATTTCTGTAGTAAATAATGTCACAATTCAGGTGACTCTTAGTATTAGAAAGTATTTAGAAAGAATTTGAGTTTTTTAATCCACTTGCAAACTTGTGTGATAAAACATATGGTTAGTACATTTCCAGTTGGTAAAACATGCCTGTGTCTGTTATTTAAACTGGGGAAATTCTCTCCACTAAAACCCAAGAATAAAAACAGGTAAATTTGCAATTTGCTGATGGAATATCTTGATCTTGATGAGAAATGTTTTTCACATGAATTTAAAAAGGCATTTGATAACTTTTATTCATTTTTTTAAATACTGCAAGACATATAAACATTCTTAACTTCTCAAACATTTACAGGCATGCAGCAACAAGAGAGTTTGCATTCTGTGGTGAGTCTGAGGAATGATGATCAATACTACAAAATAAATGTTCCACATCAATGGATTCCTGAGTAATGAGGGGGCCATTTTCATGCTGACTAAGCAGACTTGCGCTTTCTGCTTGCTGGCAGTTCAGTCAAACATCTTCTGGAATTTCCTCAAGAAACCCATTAAAGGAATCTGATTGAAGTGAGAGCTACACGTGCAGAGATAAGCATTTCTACAGTTTTGAAGCATTAGCAAAAGAGCTTGTCGTCAATTAAGCTCATATTAGATGAACTTCAGTATACGCTGCGCCCATGTAGAAAAGCACACCGAATCATGAAATTGCATTGAACAGTGTCAGTGTTTCTAGACAGGACTAGTGCTCCAGTCTGTCTTGCTGATTCCCACATATATTTAATGCTAGAGGGCATGTAAAAAGACATTTGAGTGAAGAGACTTTTTCAACATGATAGATTTCAGAGAATAGATCGAAATTGAGGATCGATTACCAGATGATAGCTTGTCATGTCTTCCTTCCTAACACACATGCACACACACACACAATTTGGGCAGTAGGATTAACACCTTAACGCTACAGTCTGTAGTCTTAACATCCTGTCAGATCATAGAAGCTAAGCAAGGCTGGGTCTGGTCAGCACTGGGATGGAAGACCTCCAAGGAAAATTGGGTTGCTGGTGTAAATGGTGCTGGTGGTCCAGTAGGTGATGTTCTTGCTTTGGGATGAGACTTTCCAAGCCAACACCACAGAACAGTGACAGGAGGCACTTGCTACAGGAGGTGTCATTCTTTGGATAAGACATTAAACTGAGTTCCTGCCTACTTGGTCCATTGGAACTGTTTGTAAGAGTGGACCAATTACCCTGAGAAACTTGGTTAAATTCTGCTTTGGTTGGTAAAGTGCCCTTGATTCGGCTGGTCAGCTGGTGAAGCAGTTTCCAAGTGCTCTATCTGATCTAGTGTTTCGGGCGGCTGCTGGTACAGGCTGCCTGTCACGTGTCACTCAGGTGGGGCTGCATTTCCTTGGAGGGTCCTCTCAGACCCTCACTGCGAGCCTTGGAGATAAAAATTGCAATACAAATAAGAGGGAATTATCATTGTTATGTTATAAGGAATCAATATGCAAATACCTTCATTGCTCCTGGCAGCTTCAGGCTCTGGGTGTTCCTGCATGAGCAAATAAAATTGAATTAAACATTTTTTTCAATCCACAAGTATGACACTAAGCTCCAGTCCTTCTTTAAATTAATGGTTTTACATGTTTCTGCTGGAAAGCCTAATAAAATTGTCTCATATTAGAATTTTATTTAACAAGTATATTAGCATTTTTACCAGTGATGTGTTGAACAGCTATAGCCATAGATATAAAAACTTGTAATAAACCATACTTCTTACTATTAGTAATTATATATTAGTTATAATTATAATGAATAAATTAAAACGTATGTGGATAGAGTGAATAACTGAAAGTGGAACTGCTTCAGGTGCAGAGAGAGAGGGGGAGCAGAAGAAAAGAAAGAAAGGGGAGAAGACAAATGAATAAGAATGTGAGAAGGGAGTGAAAAAAACTCCAAAAGAAATCCTGTAAATGGTGCTCATGCCAATTCCAATCGGCTGCCCACTGTGGTGACCAGGGTCACTGTACTGTAGGAGATGCCGTCCTTCAGATGAAAAGCTAAACCAAGGTGCACACTTCTAGGCCATCAAAGAGTCTATGAGACTCTTCAGAAGAGTGGGGCCCTGCGTAGCTTCTGCCTGGGGCTAGCACAACCAGACCTCCTTTAATTCAGCTGGAGCAGCGGTTTCTCATTGCTCGCCCTGATCTGCTGTGCAGAGGGTGCGGGTACAGAAGGCTGTCATGTGTCCCTCAATGGGGGCTGCACTTCAGTGGTAGGCGAAGTAGGTTCCCTTCCATTTGCAACATTCTCTGGGATTTTTAAGGGTGAAAAGTGCTATATGAATAGGAAAAATAATTCCTACAAGGAATGCAGTAAATGAAATTGCTGATAACCAAAATGGCCTTTGGGTGATCTTGAAATGTCCAGTACTGTCATGTATGTGTTGGCTGCTGGATACGTATTTGCAAGTGGCACAGTACCTTCTGCTGAAGGATGGCAGCTGTGGACAGTTAAAGAGACTGTGGACACGAAGGCTGTGGGGATCAGGTGCTCAGCAGTGTGAGATGATGGTGGCTGTGGACA